CCTCCCGGCCTCCCGTCCAGGCCCAGTTGCGGCCTCCCGGCCTCTCCTCCAGGCCCAGCTCCTCCTGCTCCCGGCTGCGGCCGCGGGCCCAGCCGAGGCCTCACGACAACCTCTTTAGACTCGGCTCCGGCCCAGCTCTCGCTCCGTTGCATTTGTAGGCCCCAAACGTCCTGAAGCCGCGCCCCACGGTGGCCTCTCCGGGCCAGGCTCCTGCCCTCCGACGGCGTCTCCACACCCCAGATTTCCTCCAGCCAGCCTCACCAGGCCCAGCTCCTCCTGCCGGCGGCCTCTGCAGGCCCACGCTGGCCTCGAGTCTCGGCCTCTCCAGGGCTCGCTCGCTCCTCCTGCCTGCCACTGGCCTCTTGAGGCCCAGCCCCGCTCACGGAACTTCCTCAGGCCGGCCCCTCCAGGCCCAGTTGCGGCCTCCCAGCCTCCCGGCCTCCCGTCCAGGCCCGGCTCCTCCTGCTCCCGGCTGCGTCCGCGGGCCCAGCCCCGGCCTCAGGTCAGCCTCTTTGGACTCGGCTCCGGCCCAGCTCCCCAGGCCAGAGCTCCTCCTGCCTTTCGGCTGCGGCCGCCGGGCCCCGCTCCTGCCCTCCCGGCCTCCCGAAGGCCTCCTCAGGCCCAGCCTCTGCCTCCCAGCGGACTCTCCACGCCCAGCTCTCGCCTGACTGCGGCCTCCCCAGGCCAGAGCTCCTCCTGCCTTTCAGGAGCTCCGCCAGGCCCAGCTCCTGTCTCCCAGTGGCCTCGTTAGGCCCGGCTCATTCGTCACGGGGAACGGCCTTTCCAGGCTCAGCCTGTGCCTTTTGGCGATCTCTCCAGGCCCCGAACTTCCTCAGGCCAGCCCCTCCAGGTCCAGTTGCGGCCTCCCGGCCTCCCGTCCAGGCCCAGATGCGGCCTCTCGGCCTCTCCTCCAGGCCCAGCTCCTCCTGCTCCCGACTGCGGCCGCGGGCCCAGCCGCGGCCTAACGACAACCTCTTTAGACGCGGCTCCGGCTCAGCTCTCGCTCCGTTGCATTTGTAGGCCCCAAACATCCTGAAGCCGCGCCCCACGGTGGCCTCTCCGGGCCCGGCTCCTGCCCTCCGACGGCGTCTCCACGCCCGGCCTCTTGAGGCCCCGAACTTCCTCGGGCCCCAGGCCCCGAACTGGGCCGGCCCCTCCAGGCCCAGTTGCGGCCTCCCGGCCTCCCGGCCTCCCGTCCAGGCCCGGCTCCTCCTGCTCCCGGCTGCGCGCTCCTGCCTCCCAGTGGCCTCGTTAGGCCCGGCTCATTCGTCACGGCGTCGCCCAGTTGGCCTCCGCCGGCCCAGCCTCCTGCCTCTCCGCATGCTGGCCTCGAGTCTCGACCTCTCCAGGGCTCTCGTCACGGGGAACGGCCTTTCCAGGCCCAGCCTCTGCCTCCCAGCGGCCTCTCCAGGCCCCAGACTTCCTGAAGCCGGGCCCCTCCAGGCCCAGTTGCGGCCTCCGCGGCCTTTGGTCCAGGCCCAGTTGCGGCCTCCCGGCCTCCCGTCCAGGCCCAGCTCCTCCTGCTCCCGGCTGCGGCCGCGGGCCCAGCCCCTGCCCCACGACAACCTGTTTGGACTCGGCTCCCGCTCAGCTCCCGTTCCGCGGCCTTTGTAGGCCCCAAACGTCCTGAAGCCGGGCCCCACGGTGGCCTCTCCGGGCCCGGCTCCTGCCCTCCGACGGCGTCTCCACACCCTAGACTTCCTCCAGCCAGCCTCTCCAGGCCCAGCTCCCGGGCCCGGCTCCTGCCCTCCGGCGGCCTCTCCACGCCCCAGACTTCCTCCAGCCGGCCTCTCCAGGCCTGCCTCTCCGCGGCCTCCCCAGCTGCCAGACTTCCTCAGGTCAGCCTCTCCAGGCCCAGCTCCTCCTGCCTGCCACTGGCCTCGTTAGGCCCAACCCCGCTCACGCCTTTTGGGGGCCTCTCCAGGCCCAGGACTTGACCTCCAGTCGGCCTCTCCGGGCCCAGCCTCCTGCCTGCCACTGGCCTCTCCACGCCCCAGACTTCCTCCAGTCTCCAGGCCCCAGGCTTCCTCAGGTCAGCCCCTCCAGGCCCAGAGGCCTCCGCAGGCCCAGCCTCTGCCTCCCAGCGGACTCTCCACGCCCAGCTCTGGCCTGACTGCGGCCTCCCCAGGCCAGAGTTTCCAGGCCCAGCCTGTGCCTTTCGGCGGCCTCTCCAGGCCCCGAACTTCCTCGGGCCGGCCCCTCCAGGCCCAGTTGCGGCCTCCCGGCCTCCCGGCCTCCCGTCCAGGCCCAGCTCCTCCTGCTCCCGGCTGCGGACGCGGGTCCAGCCCCGGCCTCACGACAACCTCTTTGGACTCGGCTCCGGCCCATCTCCCGCTCCGCGGCCTTTGTAGGCCCCAAATGTCCTGAAGCCGGGCCCCACGGTGGCCTCTCCGGGCCCAGCTCCTGCCCTCCGATGGCGTCTCCACGTGCCCAGACTTCCTCCAGCCAGCCTCTCGAGGCCCAGCTCCTCCTGCCGGCGGCCTCTGCAGGCCCTCTCTGGCCTCGAGTCTCGGCCTCTCCAGGGCTCCCTCCTGCTCCCGGCGGCCCCTGCGGGCCCAACTCGTCGCCCAGTCGTCCTCCGCCGGCCCAGCTCCTGCCTCTCCGTGGCCTCCCCAGCTGCCAGACTTCCTCAGGTCAGCCTCTCCAGGCCCAACTCCTCCTGTCTGCCATTGGCCTCTTGAGTCCCTGCCCCGCTCACGCCTCTGGACGGCCTCCTCAGGCCCAGGACTTGACCTCCAGTCGGCCTCGCCAGGCCCAGCCTCCTGCCTCCCGAAGGCCTGCTCAGGCCCAGCCTCTGCCTCCCAGCGGACTCTCCACGCCCAGCTCTCGCCTGACTGCGGCCTCCCCAGGCCAGAGCTCCTCCTGCCTTTCGGCAGCTCCGCCGGGCCCCGCTCCTGCCTCCCAGTGGCCTCGTTAGGCCCGGCTCATTCGTCACGGGGAACGGCCGTTCCAGGCCCAGCCTGTGCCTTTTGGCGGCCTCTCCAGGCCCCGAACTTCGTCAGGCGGGCCCCTCCAGGCCCAGTTGCCGCCTCCCGGCCTCCCGGCCTCCCGTCCAGGCCCAGCTCCTCCTGCTCCCGGCTGCGGCCGCGGGCCCAGCCCTCTCCGCGGCCTCTCCAGCTGCCAGGCTTCCTCAGGTCGGCGGCTCATTCGTCACGGGGAACGGCCTCTCCAGGCCCAGCCTGTGCCTTTCGCTCCTGCCTGCCACTGGCCTCTTGAGGCCCAGCCCCGCTCACGCCTCTGGGCGGCCTCTCCAGGCCCAGGACTTGACCTCCAGTCAGCCTCCGCCAGGCCCAGCCTCCTGCCTCCCGAAGGCCTCCGCCGGCCCAGCTCCTGCCTCCCAGCGGACAATCCACGCCCAGCTCCTGCCTCTCCGCGGCCTCCCCCCTGACTGCGGCCTCCCCAGGCCAGAGCTCCTCCTGCCTTTCGGCAGCTCCGCCGGGCCCCGCTCCTGCCTCCCAGTGGCCCGGCCTCCTCAGGCCCAGGAATTGACCTCCAGTCGGCCTCGCCAGGCCCAGCCTCCTGCCTCCCGAAGGCCTGCGCAGGCCCAGCCTCTGCCTCCCAGCGGACTCTCCACGCCCAGCTCTGGCGTTAGGCCCGGCTCATTCGTCACGGGCAACGGCCTTTCCAGGCCCAGCCTGTGCCTTTCGGCGGCCTCTCCAGGCCCCGAACTTCCTCAGGCCGGCCCCTCCAGGCCCAGTTGCGGCCTCCCGGCCTCCCGTCCAGGCCCAGCCCCGGCCTCACGACAACCTCTTTAGACTCGGCTCCGGCCCAGCTCTCACTCCGTGGCCTTTGTAGGCCCCAAAAATCGTGTATCCGGGCCCGACGGTGGCCTCTCCGGTACCAGCTCCTGCCCTCTGACGGCGTCTCCACGCCCCAGACATCCTCTAGACAGCCTCTCCAGGCCCAGCTCCTCCTGCCTGCCACTGGCCTCTTGAGGCCCAGCCCCGCTCACGCCTGGGCCCCACGGTGGCCTCTCCGGGACTGGCTCCTGCCCTCCGACGGCGTCTCCACGCACCAGAGATCGTCTAGACAGCCTCTCCAGGCCCAGCTCCTCCTTCCTGCCACTGGCCTCTTGAGGCCCAGCCCCGCTCACGCCTCTGGGCGCCAGGCCCAGTTGCGGCCTCCCGGCCTCCCGTCCAGGCCCGGCTCCTCCTGCTCCCGGCTGCGGCCGCGGGCCCAGCCCCGGCCTCACGACAGCCTCTTTGGACTCGGCTCCGGCCCAGCTCCCAGGCCCAGTTGCGGCCTCCCGGCCTCCCGTCCAGGCCCGGCTCCTCCTGCTCCCGAAGGCCTGCACAGGCCCAGCCTCTGCCTCCCAGCGGACTCTCCACGCCCAGCTCTCGCCTGACTGCGGCCTCCCCAGACCAGAGGTCCTCCTGCCTTTCGGCAGCTCCGCCGGGCCCCGCTCCTGCCTCCCAGTGGCCTCGTTAGGCCCGGCTCATTCGTCACGGGGAACAGCCTTTCCAGGCCCAGCCTGTGCCTTTTGGCGGCCTCTCCAGGCCCCGAACTTCCTCAGGCCGGCCCCTCCAGGCCCAGATGCGGCCGCCCGACCTCCCGTCCAGGCCCAGCTCCTCCTGCTTCCGGCTGTGGCCGCCGGCCCAGCCCCGGCCTCACGACAACCTCTTTGGACTCGGCTCCGGCCCAGCTCCCGCTCCGTGGCCTTTGGAGTCCCCAAACGTCCTGAAGCCGGTCCCTACGGTGGCCTCTGCGGGCCCGGCTCCTGCCCTCCGACAGCGTCTCCACACCCCAGACTTCCTCCAGCCAGCCTCTCCAGGCACAGCTCCTCCTGCCGGCGTCCTCTGCAAGCCCAGGCTGGCCTCGAGTCTCGGCCTCTCCACGGCTCGCTCCTGATTCCGGCGGCCCCTGCGGGCCCAACTCATCGCCCAGTCGGCCTCCGCCGGCCCAGCTCCTACCTCTCCGCGGCCTCCCTAGCTGCCAGACTTCCTCAGGTCAGCCTCTCCAGGCCCAGCTCCTCCTGCCTGCCACTGGCCTCTTGAGGCCCAGCCCCGCTCACGCCTCTGGGCGGCTTCCTCAGGCCGAGGACTTGACCTCCAGTCGGCCTCGCCAGGCCCAGCCTCCAGCCTCCCGAAGGCCTGCACAGGCCCAGCCTCTGCCTCCCATCGGACTCTCCACGCCCAGCTCTCGCCTGACTGCGGCCTCCCCAGGCCAGAGCTCCTCCTGCCTTTCGGCATCTCCTCCGGGCACCGCTCCTGCCTCCCAGTGGCCTCGTTAGGCCCGGCTCATTCGTCACGGGGAACGGCCTTTCCAGGCCCAGCCTTTGCCTTTTGGCCGCTTCTCCAGCACCCGAACTTCCTCAGGCCGGCCTCTCCAGGCCCAGTTGCGGCCTCTCGGCCTCCCGTCCCGGCCCAGCTCCTCCTGCTCCCGTCTGCGGCCGCGGGCCCTGCCCCGGCCTCACCACAACCTGTTTGGACTCGGGTCCGACCCAGCCCCCGTTCCGCGGCCTATGTAGGCCTCAAACGTCCTGAAGCCGGGCCCCATGGTGGCCTCTCCGGGCCCGGCTCCTGCCCTCCGACAGCGTCTCCACGCCGCAGACTTCCTCCAGCAAGCCTCTCCAGGCCCAGCTCCTCCTGCCGGCGGCCTCTGCATGCCCACGCTGGCCTCGAGTCTCGGCCTCTCCAGGGCTCGCTCCTGCTACCGGCGGCCCCTGCGGGCGCAACTTGTTGCCCAGTCGGCCTCCGTCGGCCCAGCTCCTGCCTCTCCGCGGCCTCTCCAGCTGCCAGACTTCCTCAGGTCAGCCTCTCCAGGCCCAGCTCCTCCTGCTTGTCACTGTCCTCTTTAGGCCCAGCCATGCTCACGCCTCTGGGCGGCCTCCTCACTCCCAGGATTTCACCTCCAGTTGGCCTCACCAGGCGCAGCCTCCTGCCCCCCGAAAGCCTGCACGGGCCCAGCCTCTGCCTCCCAGCGGACTCTCCACGCCCAGCTCTCGCCTGACTGCGGCCTCCCCAGGCCAGAGCTCCTCCTGCCTTTGGGCAGCTGCGCGGGGCCCCGCTACTGCCTCCCAGTGGCCTCTCTAGGCCCCGCTCATTCGTCATGGGGAACGGCCTTTCCGGGCCCAGCCTTTGCCTTTTGGCGGCCTCTCCAGTCCCCGAACTTCCTCAGACCGGCCTCTCCAGGCCTAGTTGCGGCCTCCCGGCCTTTCGTCCGGGTCCAGCTCCTCCTGCTCCCACCTGCGGCCGCGAGCCCAGCTCCGGCCTCACGACGACCTCTTTGGACTCGGCTCCGGCCCAGCTCCCGCTCCGCGGCCTCTATACGCCCCAAACGTCCTGAAGCCTGGCCCCACGGTGGCCTCTCCGGGCCCGGCTCCTGCCCTCCGACGGCGTCTCCACGCCCCAGACTTCCTCCAGCCAGCCTCTCCAGGCCCAGCTCCTCCTGCAGGCCCACGCTGGCCTTTTGGAGGCCCCAAACGTCCTGAAGCCGGGCCCCACGGTGGCCTCTCCGGGCCCGGCTCCTGCCCTCCGACGGCGTCTCCACGCCCCAGACTTCCTCCAGCCAGCCTCTCCAGGCCCAGCTCCTCCTCCCGGCGGCCTTTGTAGGCCCACGCTGGCCTCGAGTCTCGGCCTCTCCAGGGCTCGCTCCTGCTCCCGGCGCCCCCTGCGGGCCCAACTCGTCGACCAGTCGGCCTACGCCGGCCCAGCTCCTGCCTTTCCGCGGCCTCCCCAGCTGCCAGACTTCCTCAGGTCAGCATCTCCAGGCCCAGTTCCTCCTGCCTGCCACTGGCCTCTTGAGGCCCAGTCCCGCTCACGCCTCTGGGCGGCCTCCTCAGGCCCAGGACTTGACCTCCAGTCGGCCTCGCCAGGCACAGCCTCCTGCCTCCCGATGACCTGCACAGGCCCAGCCTCCCGCTCACGCCTCTGGGCGGCCTCCTCAGGCCCAGGACTTGACCTCCAGTCGGCCTCGCCAGGCCCAGCCTCCTGCCTTCCGAGGGCCTGCACAGGCCCAGCCTCTGCCTCCCAGCGGACTCTCCACGCCCAGCTTTCGCCTGACTGTGCCCTCCCCAGGCCAGAGCTCCTCCTGCCTTTGGGCAGCTGCACCGGGCCCCGCTCCTGCCTCCCAGTGGCCTCACTAGGCCCGGCTCATTCGTCTCGGGGAATGGCCTTTCCAGGGTCAGCCTTTGCCTTTTGGCGGCCTCTC